AAAAACAATATTATCTCTTATTAATACTATTAATTTTGCCATTTAAACCAAGTCCATTAGAAAATCCATTCTTCTGCTGTAGGTATTTGTGAGAACTTCCATCTTTCTTGGCCTGTTCATCTTCCAGATTCATCTATAACAACATCTTATACAGTTTAACAATAACATATTCATCATTTATACAAAAACATTTAAACAGTTGCATATAAGTAGACCACAAAGATATAAAGCCTTCTAACTCTAACTATTCTTTTATTTTAAAATTTAATTCACCCTATCCTTCTAATTTTTCCCAACAAAAGAGGATTTTTAAAGTATCTATCAAAACAGCAGCATCCACCTTTACTAGGACACAGTTGCACCTGCAGTATTGTTTCTTATTGCTTGCTGTTTTAGGAACTATATTGCTCCACACTTTCTAAACATCAACTCTGATCAGCATTTTAATATCCACCAGTAGCTATTTACCATGGCAGGTGTCCTTGCAATTATTCACACTGCTGAACAGACTTATTTGTTATGTATGCCTCCACAGCACAAAGGCTCAAAATGGGAAAGGTTATTTCACTGGAGCTTATAAGAGTTTTTTTTTTTTAAAGACTTAAGAATATTAAATGCCCATTTCCCTATATGTGCATATTATTCCTACATCTATGGAAGCATTAAGGATGAGTGGAAGGAACAAAATATTCTTTTGCTTATATTTTCCTATATTATGAGGCATTCACAGGCCTGCTAAGTGTTCTGATTCAGAGCAGTCCAAAATTAGTTTCTGATAAGGAGATGATGCCAATATGTTTAATTTCTACTGTGATATATGTATGTGTATGAAGCATTTCTAGAGCTAAGTTTAAACTCTAACAACAAATGGAATTGGTGACCCTGATGGGTAGGACTGTGAAATCAATGTTGACTCCAATCTACCCTTCTGCTATCTAGTCAACAGGTTTGGAAAGAACCTTCTGCAGTTTTTCAGTCTGCCTGATGATTTGGAATTATTCAGAACAATTTTGTCTTATCCACAAATTCAACAACCGCACTAATTATCTATTCCTCTAGAGCAGTGTTTCTCAACCTCAGCAACTTTAAGAAGTGTAGATTTCAACTCTTAGAAATTCCCCAGCCAGCATGCTGGCTGGGAAA